TCACATTTGCCTGGGCATAGCACACACCGATGAATGAATCAAGCTAAAGCATTAGAAATTACCGACATCTGAGATCAAAATAAATAAGAGAGATGAGCTGTTCTTTATACCTAGAAATAGCTGAAAATTTCTGAAAAATTTGAAAAGGTAACGGTTTTCACTTTAGCACCATGAATTGTGATGAAATCCCATTTCTGTCACTATGGCAGGCAGGACTGTATGCAGTTAGGGAGCTAGGGTGATGAGATGGAGGCAATGTAGATTTCTGCTTCAAAAACAGAAGCTATGGTGTAATCTTAGAACAATGGGATATATACAGCAAATAAAAATTGTAAAATATTTCTTCCTTGCTTTTCTTCTTAGGCGGATTTTCCTGAACTGGGGGTTGTAGCTGAGGGAGTGCTTTTCGATAGAGGAAATCCAAGTCCTAATCCTTTCGGCCTCTGCATGGCTTGAATTGGCTCAGCGATCCCCTTGCCATCTCGTCCAAGGCCTGACCCAGGTGTCCAGCCCATGTTCTGGAGCATTCGGTTTCCAATGTTGTTTTCTAGGATTGGCTGGGCGTTTTCTCCCACAATTCCTGAAATTATAAAGTGACAAAAAACATTAGTATGGAAGGTGAAGATCCTCTCAGGCTAAGAAAACCATGTTCTCCTAAGTTTTTCTTTCAACAACGGCCACAGGAGGGTTGTTTATTCATCTTAGGATAAGTAGTTTGTTGTAGAAGAGGGATCAATGGAAAAAGAGGTCTTGCTTAGAGTTTCAGCTCTTCTACTCAGCACCTTTAATCTCTTCGGGCTTCTGTTTTCTCGTCTGTAAAACAGGTGTAATACAACATACACTGCCTACTCAACGAAAGTTGTAAGGATCAGATGAGATCATGTAGGGAAAGAAAGTTCTCGGTAAGTGAGAAAGTACTCTACAAATAGATTTGTTTTCATTATCATGTTAGCCTCACGGGTAATTCTGAAAATCACCAACTTATGGCATAATATCTTACATCTGCCCAGGGCCTTGACATTCAATAAAACCAAACCAAAGAAAAAGCACAATTGATGGCATCCTTAGTTCCTAGGATTTTACATTCTTATAATCATGTTCTTGTTATTTATTATTCAGTCTGTAACATATGCATCCTTTAATTCTTTTCCTCTTCTTCCTTCCACTTCTAAGTTTAAATGACTATAGAAGCAGGCAAGGAGGGAAAAATAAAGGAAAAGAATATTAAAGTTATATATAAAATAGTCCTTCCTATTTCCTTTCCTCCTTCCCCGCCTACTTACCTTCATTCCTTATTTTGGAAAAGGAGATCGGCTAGTGTTTAACATGAGATTTAGAAATAGCTGTTGTTTTCCTGTTCTTAGCAAAGACAACTAAGAGATGCACCTATTTTAGGCATTTTCTATTTGACAACATTTTCAAAGACTGATTTTTAATTTAAACTTTCTTGTAGGCTCTTCTGGAAAAAGTTGAGCACGTATACTATATATTTGATTCTAGAGGAAAATGCAGAAGCACTAAATATCCAATGTCAAAGGACTAGAAATGAACAAATGTCATAAAAGTCAAGGAATCACAAGAACCTGAGCTCCTTCCTTCAACTGCAGGCTTGGCCTTGGTCTGCCCACCCTAGTTGTGGCACAGCCTGGCTCTCCTGGTCCATTTCTGTTCCTCCTCTAGCAGCAGCTATTAGATTATGGTGTATGAAAACAGAATATAGCAAATCAGGAGATAACCAGATACAAGCAATCAGAACTTTCAATTACCAGAGCATTTCTTGTGATTACTCCGCTTGCAGAAGGAAGTGATTATCAAACAAACTAATATTGGAGACTGTGTAGGAAAAAAAGGGGTGAGGGTATCTTAAAACAACCTTCATTTTAGTGACATATTCAGCCCAATCTCCTACACTAGGGCTTCCTAAGAAGTCTGTTGCAGAACTCTGAGGCCACAAACTTCCAGGGATGTGGTATTGGCCCACCATCCCTCTCTAGGCCTTCAGGGATAAAGATGTCTCACTTTTCAGAGATCTGCGGGATGCCTGTGGGTCAGCATACTTCTGCTCTGAAATATGGGCTGTGTCTTCCTAGACAGCTTGAGGGTTGAAATGGGCAGTTGCTGACAAAAGCACTCAGTACTCTCAAAGGCTTGTGAGTCAGATGTCTCTTTAGCACCAACCCACATCCCCATCATCGTCAATTTTTCCTCCCCAAGTAGGGATTATGAGCATCTTCTCCCCCACCACCGCCCCCCAAAAAAGTTGGGACTCTCTGTCCTGTGCCTCTAAGACTATGTTTAAGATGGTGATACGAGGCATGGAAGGATCCTCAAGCACCAATAACAATAACAAAAATATCTATGGGACCGCAGGGTGTAGTGTTCTATTTCTTGGCCTGGGTGGTGGTTACACAAATGGCCAATTTATCATTGTTCTTTAAACTATACCTATACATTTCTATTTATTATTTGGTAAGTGTATTTCACAGTAAAAAATAAAATAATAATAAAAGAAATGTCAGGGTTGAACCAACAGTAATCTTATCTGGTAATTTGTACCTGGCATTCTGGGGAACAGCAAATGGATTGTTCCTGATGATTCTGACTTGTAGAAGAAGGACACTGCAAAGTGCTAGAGATGAGTTTTAATTATTGAAACTCTTATTTACTATAGAGTAATCATCAGTTAACTTTCAAAGCCCTTTATTGGACATTTTGATATTCTCAATCTTCGGTATGCTTTAGGACTGAGACTAGAATACATTGTTGTCGTTGGCTAAATTCATTACAGGGAGTAAGAACTGGGTTACCACAATAATGAGCTGGTTTCAGATTTCTCAAATTGGTTCTTAGCTCCTTGCAACAAGTCTCTCAACAAGGAATAGAAAAAACCTTCAATTTCGAACAGCTTGAATGGCAACGACTGGTGTCAAAGCACAATTCTTAACTTACATTATTTACTGCTTGAGCAGGGCAAAATACGCATATACAGAGATTTTATATATACATTTAAATATATAAAAATATACATATATATAAAAAAGAACACACAGACCTCTTAATTACAAAACAAACAAAACAAAACATAGCCTTTTGTCAACACTCTTGCTTAATGTAATAAAAGAAGCAATTTTTATCTTGAAATTATGATTATGGTGGCAATAAAGACAGACCACCAAGGCATCTAATTTTTTCTGAACAGCTGCCGATCAGGTATTTCAGTTTAAACAGTACACTAGCATTTTGTCCTATATCTCTGATTTTTTAGTGATTGCCATGAATTAATTCACTTCCATCTGTAAGCTAAAATCAGATCAGAGGTCTAAAGCTGCTCTGGGCCACACATCTGTTTAATCATATTTTTGATACAGTAGCTTGCAAAAGTTCAGGTTTAAAATTTGTTTAATATTTAAGAAAAAATATGAGGTCAATTTAAAACATCTCTGCAAAAATGGCTACATTGTGGGCAATTCTCACTTCTAAAGTGAACAGCAAATGATAATTGATTCAATATCATAATTTTAAAGTGTTGATATTTTAAGGCTGGTGGCCCAGGAGTGGCCACCCTACTCTTCCCAGGCTTGGGTTTTTATATAGGCAGAAAAGATTCCATTCTCTCTCTCTTTTGTAATGCTGGTTTCATTTCTCCTCTAAATGAAAATAAAATAAAATAAGTAAAAATAAAGCATTATCTTGTACTTTGAAGAAAAACAGTAAAAAAGGAGAAACATTTAATTTCTCCAATGCTAAATCTTTCCACATAGAAACACAGATTCCTGAAAAAAAAAGCAAAACAGTGGCTTTTCTATACAACCTTAAAAAAAACACAGATACTTCATATTTCATGGAAAATGATTCTAAAGTGAGATCTACTGTTGGTCTCTCATCCTTTTATGAGATTAAGACTTGGGAGTGGAAAAACTCAGTTTCAACACAGCATCCTACAACCATAATTTCCTTTTCTTTGGCTCCTGGCAGCGATAAATCCTTTAAGTCCTTTCCTAGAAGGCTCTCCTCCTGCTCGGGCAATTTTAGCAATACGTCGCCTGCTAACCCTTCTGCATGCTCCCACTCCCAGCCCCCCTCATGCTGGATCTCTTGTATCTATTACAGCTGAGTCGGTCTGGTCCTTCCCCCTGAAATCTTCCAAAGAGTACTGTGGACGGTAATTCACTTGCGTAATTGGCTCGAGATGAAAATCTTGTATTGGCCTCTCTTAGCGGCTAATCTACCCAGCTGACTGCAAGCCGAATTGGCAGCTTGTTTACTAATTTGGCTCCTAAAGTGTTGTATTGATGTTGGATAAACAGCCAATGGAAGGGGAGGTGACACACGCTGCTTCCCACATAACAGCTAGTGCACTCTCTTCAGTCCCTACCCTGTATTCAGAAGGCGTTCAGCGATTCGCGCTCCTCCTTTCTTCCCATCCTCTTTTCCCCATTACTTTCCTAGCCAGCTGAGGGGCAGGGCTATTATTATTAGCGATGTTATTAAAATCGTGAGTTATAACACTGCCATCTGTTTTCAGTAACTAATTTAGCGGCATGGGTTTTTGACTACTGTTAAGAAAAGAAACAGCATTAAGCACAGCTTGAGATGTGAGAAAGTGGTAGGTGTTACCACTCTTAGTTACATGTTTTCATTATTTCATTAATAGGGAAAAGCCTCACGAATTCTGACCATTCTACATTTTATCTGCAATACTGCAGATGTTTTTCACATGAATTTTTAAAAATAAAATCAGTTCGAATAGTTAATTGCTTAAAAATACAAGGCACTTACTTTTTAAATAATGAAAATTTAACGTAAAACTAGTTTTTTGCTGTTTTTTTCCTTAAGTGATGAAAACTTTGTAGCGTAGAGAATGAAAGACACGATCTGTATTGACATGTTTAGAGAAGGGAGCGTTTTTATTTAATTTTATTTTTATTGGGGTAACTGGTTTATAACATTATATAGGTTTCAGGTGTACGACATTATAATTTGACATCTGTATACACTAGAGCGTGCTCACCACCAAAGGTCTAGTTTCCATTCGTCACCGTACAATTGATCTCCTTTACCCATTTTGCCCTCCCCCCACCCCCAGAAGTCTTTTTATTAACAGATATTTTGGTTATACAAAAATATATTTCTTATGGAATGATTATGTATCAAAGAATAGTGTTTTCGGGGGCCTGCCTTGTGGTGTAGTGGTTAAGTGCACGCGCTCCACTTTGGCGGCCCAGGGTTTGCAGGTTCGGATGCCGGATGCACACCGACGCACTGCTTGTCAAGCCATGCTGTGGCGGCGTCCCATATAAAGTAGAGGAAGATGGGCACGGATGTTAGCCCAGGGCCAGTCTTCCTCAGCAAAAAGAGGAGGATTGGCATCGGATATTAGCTCAGGGCCGATCTTCCTCACACACACAAAAAAAGAATAGTGTTTTCAAAAAACTAAAAAAATCTTAAAGTAAAACTGTATTGGTTCTGAAGGCACACACGGATGTTTATTTGCTATAATATAATCAGGACCATTTGTGGTCTGCCTACTAGGCGCCAGGCACATGGTTTACCTGTTAGGCATATGACATTTGTTATCTCCACATCTCACAACAACTGTGCAAGGGGGCAATTATAATGAGCCTCAGAAAGATGAAGTAACTTGATCACGACCACACCGTGAATAAGCTAGGATTCAAACTTTGGTTAAGCACTGCCTCCCTATGAGAATTAATGGCAAATAAACAATTTTAGTGGAGATGATGTCTCGAATAATTAAAAAAAAGTCAATTGGATTATAGCTGAATTGGAATACTACTCTCAATTTGCATATGGATAATATACAGCATACATACAGTGACATACTTGCATAACTTAAAATATAACGATGTCTGCAGCTTTTGGAGAATACAGATGCTTCCACGTCTATCATTTCTTTTGATCTTCCTTATCAATCTGGAAGGTAGGTATTATTGGCTCCATTTTACTGATGAAACTGAGGTTTAAAGAGGTAACACACCTACCCAAAGTCAACTAGCTAGAAAGTGTCCCAGTAAGAACTTGAACTTAGGACATTTGAGTCCAAATGTTACCCTTTCACTGACTGGACATTGAACTTAAAATGTTATATCACCAATATTTTCTACTATGTCATTTATACTGCCACATTTCCCCAAATGACTGAGATTTTGTTCTGTTCCCAAATTTCAAACTCCTGGAAAAATTACTACTCAAAACTAGTATAGAAAGTCTGTCTGAAGAGTTTCAACTCTCCTGAAATACCTAAAGATTCATCTTGTTTGTTATAAATCCAGGTATTCTACCTTTCTTTGGCTGATATTTAAATTACAACTTAAGTGTTAGTTGTATTTATTGTAAACAGTATATACTGGGCTTTGTTCTTTTATCCATTATGATAATCCCTGAATTTAATTGATGCATTTACTCCATTTAAATTTATTGTGATTACTGATTGTCTGGATTTATTTTTACTATATTATTTAATGCTATTTACTTTGCATTTCTCTACATTTTCATGGACTTCTCCACATTTTTGTTTCCTCCTTTCGGGCATCTATTGCTTGCTTATACTAACTTGAAAATTATACATTATATTTCTCTTGTTTTAGTGATTACTTTTAAATGTCAACATGCACATCTGACTTATTATTTTCTCACATTTTACATATTGTTGTCCAGAGTTTTGGTTCCATCTTCCTTTTATACAACCAGATTAATCATCTTCATGGTCACTGTCACCATCATTATTATTACTTTTATACATTTACTTTTATTATTATTACTATTATATTATATTACATTATTATTATTTTATTATTATAATAATATTATATTATTATTTTATTATTACTTTTATACATTTTATGCACATGTTTAACCATTTCTTTGCTCACAATTCCTTCTTGATTTTCATTTTTTTTAAGGATTCTGTTTTCTTCTACATGAGGCATTAAATTTAGTAACGATGGATCTTCACCTGAAAATGTCATATTTCATCCTCACTCTTGGGAAATAGATTATCTGGATATAAAACTCTAGATAGACTCAGTTATTTTATCTCTGCACTTTAAAAATATTATCTCTTATCTTCTGGACTATACTGCTGTTTTTAAGTTTGCTACCAGTGTAATTTCATTCCTATGTAGATTACATCTTTTCTCATTGGCTGCTCTTAAGTTCTTTTCTTTGTCTTTGGTGCTCTGAAGTTTTATTACAATGTGCCTAAGTATGACTTTATTTACATTCACTATTTCCTGATAAAGACTTGTAGTTTTTGAATATGAAGATTCACGTTTTTCTTCAGTTGTAAAAATTCTGTCATTATCATCGAACTCTGTCAATATTCTCCTGGAATATTGTACCTCCCCATTCTTTCCACTCCTTCTGGGAGTTCTGTTAGACATATGTTAAACTTCCTTCTCCTTCAAGTCCCCCAGCTGTTCTTTTATGCTTGCCATATTTATCACTCTGAGCTTCTTTTAGGTAGTTTGTTTAGATAGTTCTTAAAAATTCACTGTTTATTTCAGCTGTATCTAATCTGCTGTTTAACCCACCCAGTGAGTTTATAAATTTCAAGATTTTTTTCACAATAAATAAAATAATCTCAAATTTCTACTTGGCTCTTTACCACATCTGTCTTATTTTTTTTCCGGTTATTATCTTTCATTTTTGAATCTGTTATTATAACTACGTTTTTTTCTTTTAGTTCTGGTTTATGAGATCATCTTCAGTGGGTTTTCATTTGTGGTGATTCTTGAAGCTTGGGGTTGAAGGCATGTACCACTAGAGGGGTTTTGCATTTGCTTCCAAGACCAGCTTTATGTTAATTAATTGGCTTGGTGTAATTTTAAACTAGAAACGCACGTGAAGGTAGGCTCTTGGTTACAAATCTTCAGAGAGTTTTCTACTTGGAGCCCAGGTGGAAACAAGATTCTTTATTTTCCTGTGCTTGTGGATGAGTTTTGTTTCTAGTTTGCCCTTTTCTGAGGATAGAGCTTTTCAGAAGTTCTGGCTTGATAAGGAGGCTTACACTCCGCTCCCTGGCTTGGCTGCCTTCCCATGAGGGCACTAACCAACATACCTCAAGGTTTCCGAGATAGGCAAAACTGGACATGGGCGTGGAGGTTGTTTAGGACCATTTTTCGTCTTGAATATTTCCTTTCTTTCCTGCAGTTTCAGGTATGCATCTAAAAAGATGGCTGTACATTTTGTTCAGCATGTCCAGGTATTCTGTAGTTGAGTATTTTCTCATTATTTAGTCTCTTACATGTCAGGAAGAGCAGTTATTTTCTATCTAATATGCACGCTTACTCTCTCCTTAAATGATTCTTGTACCAAATGGTAATGGAGAGCTGTTTAAGATTCTTCTAAAACACATAACAGAAAGTAGTTTGTGGGCCAGCCTGGTGGTGTAGCAGTTAAGTTCACGCGCTCCGCTTCGGCAGCCCAGGGTTCGCCGGTTCGGACCCTGGGCGTGGACCTACTCACCGCTCATCAAGCCATGCTGAGGCGGCGTCCCACACAGAGCAACTAGAATGATGTACAACTGTGACATACAACTATCTACTGGGGCTTTGGGAAGAAAAAAGGAAAAATGGAGGAAGACCGGCAACAGATGTTAGCTCAGGGCCAATCTTCCTCAAAAAAAAAAAAAAGTTATATATTTCCTAGGCTTTTGTTCTATGTCAGATATAGTTTGATTTCAAAATCAATTACAACAATCCCCCCCAAAAGTCTGCCTGTTTTAAAATCCTGGAAAAGATAATTTATATGGGTCATACAGATCCAGTGATAAAAGAAATAAAAATATAATTATTGATAAGATAAATTTGAACAACTGAAGACATATAGCACCATGAAAAGGAGCTTGGTTACACCAAACATTTCTTGATTATGTTTAGTATGACTTTTAGTTAGAAGTACACCTTTTAGAAATTTTCATCTATTATGATTTACAACCCGCCTTTGTTGCCTTAAATATTCATAAAGATTATTTTACTATTGAAATATCAGTAGGATGCAAAGGAAAAAGTCACAAAAAGCTGTAATGCAACCCCTTGCCGAGGACCTGCACGTCCATGAAAACACAGTTACCCTGTAGCAATATCTATACTGAGATATTAAACTTCAATAGGCATCTTTTTGCATAATTGAAAATGTATAGAAAAAAGGCTGACGACTTATGATGAATATTTTCCATATGATATTTCAATAGAGAGCAAAATAATAACAGCAAACACTAATGTGGATAACAATGAGTTTAGTAATGTATAGTGGAAAAAATTTTTTTTTAAAATGTGATAGCCACAATGTCTCAATAAACATATTTAAATCTTTTTACTATCAAATTCTAGTAAGGTATGACTTCCAAAAACACAGAGCATAAGCAACATTGCTGACTGCCTTTTAAAAATGTGTTAATAATATTCCTATTCTGTTCACTGCTTTTCTTCACCTTTACAGATGACATTTTTCAAACTATAAAATGCATTCTGCTGGCAAATCTCCTTGCTTCAACAGTTCTCAATTTTATAATAGTAAATCTACATCTCTGCTACTGAGACATCCACTATCTTTTGGTATGTGACTTTGAATGAGGCAGAGAACAAGCCATACATTTAAAAATCAATATCTAACCTTATCAATATTCATTTTATTTTGTCAATACAAAATACAAAGGTGAAAGAGCAGTAAATAAGCTAAAGCAGTGAAATAAATTTGGTGTTCCTGTCACAATTAATAAATGTTGAACCGATAACACCGCTGGCTAGTCTATAGCCTTATAAAGCAACTGAAATTATGCTTCAGTTCTATTGTTAAAACAGGGTGAGTAAAATTTTCAATACACTAGCACGTAAAGATGATAAGATTTTGGGTTATTAATTTCATAGGGGACTTTAAATCTTTTTAAAATACTTTTTATTATGTATACAATATATAGTTGTTTATCTTTAGAGTCTTAAATTGTTATAAAAATCCAGTTTGGGATTATAAAGTTACAGGGCCTAATTATAGTTTTCTGACAATTTTTTGGTAAATCTTTTCTAAACCTGCTGTTTGACCACATAATATTTCACAT